CTATACTTACCTGGCATCCGTCAGGTTTTCCACGCCGCTTATCTTACAAAACTCCTGTTGTAACCATTTCTCTTCGCCTATGACATCATCATATCTCAAGACAGCAGTCAAGTAAGTATATAATATAAAGATCTCACTCACTCGCATATATAAGCTCCTGCCTCTCGCTCTCTCTCATCATATATATATTAAAGGCATATCATATCCATATGATACAGATATACTCATATAAAGACATTACTCATACTCCACTCCATCCCATCACCATAATTATAATAAAGCATCATATCCATCATGCTACTCCGCATCCATATCACTCCATCACCTGGATTACTATCATCATATCATCAATCCAAGTATATCATATAAATACATATAAAGACTAACTTAGTAAACAAGCCCGGAAAGCCGTAGCCAAAGCGGGTTCGACAAAGGATAAAAGCCCAGCGCCATAGCCAAAGCCGGTTCCTTCAACGGTAAGCCACCGTGGGATACTTTCCATCCATATTACGATTGGGACAGGGGTTAGCATATCCATCCAACACATCGACAGGGCGATTCATTCTGTTATGCGCGACATTTCCCCGCTTTGCGCCAACCTTCACAATAAATCACAACTTCTCTCGCACTAGTATTTTAGTGTAGCGTCTTAAATCGTTCAAACTGACAAGCTAGACCTCAGTGAATAAATTTTAAGTCTCGTAGTGGGGCTACCTCCAAACCTCTACAACCCACAACTGCTTCAAGTTACTTTTAGGAGCTCATCACTACTCCTGTTAATTGCTTCACCGCATGGAGACCGTACCATCACCCATGTCCTATCTCGAGTTCACCCCCGAGGTTAAAAGACATACTAACTAAGGAGACCAGGTACTAATGCACAATACTGTTGCGTCTGTCTTTTAGGCTTGCCTATGCACCTGTTCCGACTGCACGGGTGCGCGGAATCCGTTACAAGTGGTCGTAGCCGTTGGTGTCTCTTTCTTCGCTTATTTAGGAGATCTTCTCTCACTCTTTTTGGGAGACACTATGATTTGGGTTCGGCGCACTACATAAATAAACCGCATAACGAGTGGCTATTGTCCTTATACTGCTACAAGACCAGTCTCATGTTTTGTTGATGTCGACATCTCTCAATTCTGTACTCTCTGCTTTCGCCTCACACGGCCATTATAACATAGCGTACGTGTTTCCGCGATGTTCGACAGATAGGGCACGCGCGCGTCGCGTCTCGCTCTTCTCGCCTTACCGCTCCACAGTGACGCGTAAGCACTCTCTTTCTTCGCTTCCTCCGTGTGTGCTCGTCGCGCCACGAAAAGACGAACATGCGAGAGAGGGCTCCTTATCTCCTACTCCTCCCGACCGGTGGTCCATACGCGTACGCTCTTGTCATCTCTTACGTCGCCCTCCTTCTTTCCCATTCTTCTACTCTCTTTTTACCCTTCCTCGTCTCTTCTATTTCGGCCCCCCCTCTTAAAACTTACTCTCATCTTCTTTTCTTTCTTTTTTGTACCCACACCTACTCTTAGCTCACCCGACTGTTACCCCAGTTGGAGAAAATTTCTACCTGTCCAAAGATTCCTCCACTAACACCCCCAGTTTTTTGGGACACTTCTCTAGACAAAGTGTAGGTTAATTTACGCACATTTTTTCTCAGCGCGGCATCTTCCAGGTTTCTTCCACTGAACGATGTAACGGTTATCTCGTCTTTCACATCGTGTTCAATCGCCAGCATACCCGGTTCTACTTCTCTCTTTGTCGATCTGCGTAAACGTCACAGCCATAAGAACCCGGGGTCCTGTGTCTCGTTAGAAAAAGCAAAAATCAAGTGCATTTTCTTTTCTCTGTAGGATAACTACAACAAAGTGCATTCAGAACAAAGCCAAGGTGCTTTAAAACTGCATAAACATCTAGGCCAGTAGGCCTACAACAAAATAGTGTAAATAAAGACTGTAACAACCAGGCCTTCAACAACAACAAATGCACCTATAAGTTTGGTAACCTAACGTGTTGTTGTGATGACGTAATCAAAACGCGGCGACAAGCACGGCGCGCGACCATGCTCGCGGCTGGCTCACAGCCAACATGTCTGCCGCTTGGAGATATTTAAAAATATCAGAGAGAGAGGCGCGGATTGCGATTTGTAAAACGTGTTCAGCTGACATTTCTCGAGGGGGTGTAACTGCAAAGACTTTCACCACTTCGGGATTACTCCACCACTTGAAATCAAAACACCCGGACAAATATGCGGAGTATGATCAACGTAACCCTGTTCTCTGACATTCGGTGATATTCGGCCGAAAGCCGAAAGGGCCTTTTTAACCATTTTCGGCCGATAATTTTCGGTGGCCGAATATTCGGTGCATCCCTAGTGTTAATGAATGTATATCATGTACTGATGCTAGATCCAAAATGTGATTGATAAAGCAATATGGACTAGTGTTTTATTCCAATTAAAGGAGGCAGAATATTTGTTACTGGCTAAATATGAGTACAAATATGTTGTTGGGTAAGGACTTTCTTAAAAGAAGTCACAACATAATCATTGAAATTATTTTTTTAATTGATAATAATCACAAATCAGAAAGTGAGGAAAACTCACCAGGTTTAAAATAAATTAAATTACACTAGAAAAGCTTCAAATGTAAATCTATTTAATATGTATACACATACATGCATCTGTAATTTACTAACATAAGTGTAAATGAAATAATGACTACTTCTCTCCTCATTAGAATCTTATTGAGTGAATGCTCCATGTTTATTCTCCCGTGCTTCAGATTGCCGACCAGATGTTCTTCCACACCGACTACCGGCCGCTGATCAGAGACGCCAACAATTACGTGCTGGACGAGCAGACCCAGCAGGCGCCCCACCTCATGCCCCCTCCCTTCCTGGTGGATGTGGACGGAAACCCCCACCCCCCCAGATACCAGCGGCTGGTGCCCGGCAGGGAGGGCTGCAGGAGCGAGCAGCTCATCCCGCAGATGGGGGTCACTTCCTCAGGTACAGAGGCAATACAAGAAGAACTCAGACCCTCGGGAGTATCTCCTCTCAGCGTGATCTAAGGGCAAGAACTCAGTTGTACTTCTACGCTTTCCCTCAGATCACATCTTTACCTGGGGCCTTCTGTCAGCTGATCAAAGGCTCTTTTGTCTAGCAGATCACACCGCTCTTATAGCTTGACAAGAGTTTTGATCTCTTCTCTAATGTACTTAATGAGACGCTTTAACTGAAACTACACCGAATTGGCAATTAAAACCTGAATAATAAGGCAGTTTAAAGTCTTGCCAGGGAGGCAAACAGGAGCAATTGTTTATGAAATGCATTAATAGCGCACCGTGGAGGCAGGTGAAGATGCAAGAGGGGAAAGATGATTTTATTTTGAGACAAAATGACTCTCCATGTTTCCCAGTTACAGAATACTGCCCTGCTGTCGGCAATTAAAAAGCCTCGACTACAAATAAAAAATGAATGCAATGGGGAAATGTGTACATCCAGTTGTTATGAGACATTTGCGGTTGATGGTCTCATCTATCTTTCTGGTTCTCTTCTCTCTTAACTCCAGGCCTGAACCAAGTGGTGAGTGAGCAGGCGGCGGAAGGGCCCAGTCCTCTGGACTCCATGATTCAGAGGCTGCAGCAGGAGCAGGACCAGAGACTGGGAGGCAATGACTCCAGGTCCAACAGAGGTAAGACTGCGTCATGACAGGAAGCTCATTCTGCTGGAGTGTGGACAGCGTCTCAAAAGCAGCCTTTGTTTCCACCTTTATGGGTAGAGCAGCAAGGACATTATCCAAATGACTTCTAAACAATGGGGCCTTGTGTGTTGCTAACTTCATCTTTAAAGCAGGTTTAAACAAGCTGAGTGATATTTGCAAACACCATTTGAATCCAGTTATAGATATATCTTTTTTAATGTTATATTCAAAGATGCAGTCAGCATTACCAACTATAATTGTACCTCCCCCAACATGGAACTACAGGAGAGAAAGTGGTAGAAAATTATAACTAAAAATAAAAATAAAATAAAAAGCTATAAAATATAATAAATAAATCATAAAACTCACACCAAATTGTATAATGTACTGTGTGAAAAGTACAACTAGCAAAACAATTAGAATAATATGTAATTGATCAAATTAACACCATTTTTTTTAAATTTGGAGTTTGATTTGTTCAAATGGAATTTGCAACAATCATTATTTGCAAAAGTGCCAAAAAATGTAATTCATTGATTTGTCTATCAACACTATTCGGAAACTATCTCTTTCAATTATTAATGGTTAAAGTGTCCAGTAAACAAATCAAATATCTGCTGGTTCCAGGTTCCCAGGCCTTTCTTTGTCATAGGTGAAAGAGACAGAATGTATTTTGCAATGGAAATACTTCACATTATTCTGACACTTAAGCGATAAACCAATTGGTCTAGTGATGCTCACACTAATTGGCATATTAATCTTTTACCAACAATCTTGAGTTCCAGACAATGTAATCCTTATATGCTGCTGACAAATTGAAAGCTCTGTTTTATGTTCTCTGTCTTTCTCTCCTCTCTCCCTTCAGGATCCGTGGGTTCTCCCACAGAGGTGCACTCCCCGCCCAACGTGGGTCTGCGGCGCAGCGGGCAGATCGAGGGCGTGCGCCAGATGCACAGCAACGCCCCGCGCAGCCAGATGGCCACAGAGGGAGACCTGGTGGCCTGGAGCCGCAGGGTGCTGGTGCCCGAGCTGGAGAACGCCTCCGTCAGGTAACACACGCTCACAGAGAGGAAGAGCTTCCGGAGGTGATCATATTAAAGCAAGCCATGACGTGTGTGTGTGTCTGTTTCTTGTGTAGGAGACGGATTACCTGGCGTGAGGCTAAAGGAGAGGAGGAGATCAATATCTATCAGTCAGAAAGGAGGAGACGCACCATCCACTCCCTCCCTAAGGAGAGCAGGGTGAGTGAACTTACACACATTACTTTTGTACAGGAACACAATATTGATATCACTTTTTTTCATTCATGACTCTTTAATTTATTTAGAGATTCTTGTTGAATTGTTCTTCAGGTTCATCCGACACCAGAGTCAGTGGATGAGGGAAGGAAGAGTCAGGGTAACCACGGATACCACACGCGCGCCGCTATGGAGGAGACGAGCCGACAGAGCGCAGAGGCTGCTGATGACGATGACAGCGCCTCAGAGGTAGAAACAAATGGTTACTGTTTTCTTTTGAATTCAGTTTCATATTCTATGGAGCTGTAGTAAGCCCCTTTCTAAAACACAGGTGACTCTGAATAATAGACCTGTGATATACAGGTCTATTGCAGGGACTTTTAGTCAGGCAGTAAGACCTTTTCTTTATTTTGATTCAATTTGTTGGCTCTTCTGATTTGGTAACTTTAGATGAGCAGATTTCTCCAAAACCCTCTGTTCAGACTTTGCTAGCATGTTAACCTTTATCTGCCCCTAGGGACTTTAGCTCTTAGAACTATTATGGAATGCTAGTACATTTAAATGTTACTAGTAGATAGAAACATCTAACCAATTTCAAAGGTTCTTCAAATTCTTTATAAAGTTCAAAACTGATATCTCTATGTGTGTAAACGTGAGTTTACATGTATGAATGAATCTTACACTGATGACTTACACTAACTTCCAAGATGTAAGCTTATAGATTTTTTGGTTAATTTGGTAATTTACAGTGGTAAAGAATCCAATGTTTTCATGGCTTTAGTCTATACCAGGGGGGTCAAACTCAAATACACAGTGGGCCAAAATCTAAAAATCTGTACTAGTCGAGGGCCGGACTGGTTCAATGTTTATTGCAGAACTTATTGAAATGAACTTATTGCACATATTAAACCTGGAACTAACAAAGCTTAAATGATTGCCTATAAAACATTAAACATTAAATAATCAGTTGCATTCATTTCTTATGGCTCTATCTGTAGCTTTTCCAGAGTCATTTCTTATGATTACATTTTTCCACAGACCAACAACAACTTCAAAAAAACTATTCCCCTCAAAGAAAAAACCAAACATGCCCTGTTGTCACAAGAACAAAAGTGCAGAAGGAAACATCCATGTAAACTCAGTGTGCTGCTCTGTGATGCTAGTTCAAGCAGATACTTGGCATCTCATCTTGGGTGCAAGTTCATCCTGTCAACGATTCGATTCAATTCGATATCCCGATGCATCACGATGCATCACGATGCATCACGATTCATACCAATGCGTTGCATCCTCAATTTTCTATATTACTGCACATGGCTTATTTTTCATCAATGCATACATGCAGTAAATACATATGAACTCTCTTTTTATTATTTAGAAAGTGCTTCAGAAATCAATAACATAAATGTCTTGACATTAATTTATAAACCAAAATAAATTAATTGTATAGGTCTAGCCTCCCTATATCTGTGTGTGAAGTTGTTCCATCCTCAAAAAAAATAAAAATAATGCTTCTGCAGTCTAGCTGCAGCTTCTAGCAACAGTCTTCTGTTAAAAAAAGGACACTGAATGTCCTGAATGTGGCATCACACACAGGACTTGAGTCTGAACACAGCAGACAACAGGAGTATTTAATAGCATATACAAACAAAAATACTGCATGTGGATGCACACTTACATTCTCTGTCTTACTGTTACATAAATCCATGAATGTATGAGATTAAGTTAGCTTCATTATATCTCAGTGATTAAGTGAATAATAAAGTTTCTATCAGGTTACTGTCAGCCTGTCACTCATTATTTTCAGTGAGGGGGCGGGGTTTGGAGGAACGGAGAGGAGACGGT